TTATAATACTTTGCTTTGTCTTTTTGAGCTGTGCTTTGAAATCTTCTCTAAAGCTCTTTTACTTCATTTTTTCCATTCGATTTCGCTACTCTACATTCAAGAGCAAGTTTCAGAGTCTCTTCCAACATCCATTTTGGTCTTGTCTTTCTTTCCTGTCTTTTTAATGACCTTTTGCTTTCGTCACGTATGAAGTCCTTGATGTCATCCCACAGCTCTTCTGGTCTCCAGTCAAAAATGCAGTTTTCAGTGCGTCAAATCTATTCTTGAGATGGTCTCTAAATTCAAGTGGGATATACTTAAGGTTGTATTTTGGTTCCTGTGGACTTGTTTTAATATTCTTCAGCTTCAACTTACACGTGCATATGCACAATTGATGGTCTGTTTCACAGTCGGCCACATGCCGAGTTCTGACTGATGATATTGAGCTTCTTTGTTGTCTCTTTCCACAGCTAGTAGTCGACTTAATTCCTGTGTTTTGCATCCAGTGAGGTCCACGTGTATAGTCGCCCTACCCTGGGCCAATCATCAGGAAGATGAGCTGTGACTGGTCTGACATAGTCACATGCCCACCACTGAGGCGAGCTGGGGGAAATCTGAGAAGGGAAATAGGAGCAGCTCAGCACAGAGATGGTGGCTTTGCCCTGCGTGAGGTGGTACTGGCTTCAGGCTCCTTGCAAGACTCTTGTGGTCCTTGTGGCCACCTTTAGGGCTGTGGGGATCCACAGAAAGCACGTCATGGGACACCTCCTGAGCGATGCACGGAGAGGAGGCCATGACCACGGAGACCCTGGATGTGGGACCCCCATCTAGAGGCTGCTTGCAGGGTCTCTGGTCTGCACCTTCCCGCCACTGTCTACATCCACTGCACATCCCGCCAGCTCTGAGGTCCTTGCTTTCTGCGCCTGGTGCAGCTCCAGCTGCCCATCCCCGCCCCAGGGAAATGGGTCTGGGTGGGGTGGAAGAGCCTAAGCCCCTCTTTGCAGAGAAGTCAGTGCTGCCCTTCAGCTTTTCCCTCCCCAGGAAGATATCCCCCTGGATAGTGTCACAGCAAAGTGAGGCTGAGACTTTAGGGACCCTGCTGTCCCCTCCAAACAGCCTCAGGCCAGAGTACAGCCAGTACTGGAACACCTCAGGGAGGAAAGTAGAAGCCCCCTTTGGAGGTGAAGCCCCTGTACTACCTGTGGAGAAGGTGTCCCTGGGAAGGATGCCAGACTGAGCCAGAAGGTGCAGCAGGAGTCAGCCGGGAGAGGGAGTAGGGAGATGGCACCAACAGGGAGTCTGAGGGCCGGAGGAGCTGGCTTGAGGGGTCTAAAGGAGCGACCTGGGAATGGCTGGAGGGATGCTGGGCTTTATTCCCCAGTGCAGTGGAGGGCACCAGAGAGTATCCAGTAGGGGAGGTCCATACCCTGACTGAAGCTTCAGGAAGATCTGAGTGAGGAGCATGGATGGAAGGGGCAGGGGCAGAGGGAAGAACAGCAGTAGGGGGAGGGGGCTGTTGGGGTCTCTGGATAGACAGGATTGGTAACTAGGAGGGTGGGCGCAGCAGGGTTGGAGGGAGGAGACCAGTCTGGGAGCTTTTCAGAAGGACTTGCAGTGTGAATGGAGGTCTGGGCAGCAGCAGGGCTGACTTCATGGGCTAGAACCTATTATTACTTCAAATTTCCTGCTCTTTTATCTCTTCTTCTCCTATTCCCATTACATGTATGAAACACATTTTATTATTACCCCACAGTTCTCGAATCTTTTTTTTTCCATTTGTATTTTTCTCTTTGCTTTTCAGTTTGAGTTGACTTATCTTCAAGCACACAGACTCTTTCATCAGCCATGTCCAGTCTATGGATGCAGCAAACCAGGAACAAACCTGAAGTTTTACATTTTGGCAGATTCAGCACGGTACCCGGAACAGGAAAAACTACAAGTTGAAGCCCTGGAATGGGAGACTTGGAACTGGCGTAGTGAGCCCTTTCAGGAGCCTGATGTGTGAGGTTTGCTTACTGGCCAGACTGTACGAGAGCAACACACATTCAAAGTGGTGCAGTCAGCTGCCATCTTTGAACAGGGCACTGCCATCTTTGAGTAGGGTAGCGCTGCTTCAAACTGTGATCAAAATCCGAGGGCAAGAGATTTGGTTGTGTCACCCTAATACCTCGCAACATGTTTTCCCCTTTTCAAAATGGATGTCATGGATTGAATTGTGTCCCCCAAAAATATCTGTCGACTTGGCTGGGTCATGATTCCAAGTATTGTATAACTGTGTACTGTTTTGTAATCTGATGTGATTTCCTTCTGTGTTTAAATTCAATCACTATGATCTAATAAAATGGATGAGCAGCAGTTATACTGATGAGGTATACAAGACTAGATAGTGTCTTAAGCTAATCTCTTTTGAGATATAAAAGAGAGAAGTGATCAGAGACACATGGGAACCTCATACCACCAAGAAAGCAGTGCTGGGAACAGAGTGCATCCTTTGGACCTGAGGTTTCTGTGCAGAGAAGCTCCCAGACCAAGGGAAGACTGATGCATCACAAGGACCTTCCTCCAGATCCAACAGAGAGAGAAAGCCTTTCCCTGGAGCTGAGGCCCTGAATTTGGACTTGTAGCCTACTGGACTGTGAGAGAATAAATTTCTCTTTGTTGAAGCCATCCACTGTGGTATTTCTGTTATAGCAGCACTAGATGACTAAGACAATGGCCAATTGAGAGCTTGACATAACTAAAGCCATAATAATACTCTAACCTATACTTTTTTTCTGACTGTACCAGCTGCGCTGGTCTCCTTCCAAAGGGGTATGGGGCCTTCTCGGCTCTTGTGACCTTCGTCTCCCTCCTTTTCTATGTTCTCTTGGCGGATAGCCTTCAGCCTGCAAGATGGTAGCTGGGAAGGCTACCTGGTGCTTTTGGTCTGCAACTTTCTTTCTTGCTCCTTATCTCGGTCAGAGTAAACGTGGCAGGCCAGTTCCACTCGCCGAGAGATTTTTATGTAAGTTTTTTTGCCTGTTACAAACAAAGATTAGAGTCCAGATGTCCAGCATGCATATCTTTAGTCTAATAAAGAGTTTCTTGTAATTGTCTTATGATGTATACTCACCGACCATCAATGGGCTACGTGTCTGAAGACACTAGGTAATCCTTGCCAAAATAATGTGTAAGCTCTGATGTAGAAATTGCCTTTCGGGACTCCATAAAGACAGATTGCGTTGCTGCTGGACTCCCCGTTGGTGTCGCCTCCTAATAAACTTTCTCTCTCTTTCTGACTTGGAGTACACTTCATTGGCTCGACTGCTCCAGGGCATGGACCCTAATTGGGCAACAGTTGCTATGCAATGCATACTTTGCCCTTGTTCTCTAGGAGGGAGATTAAGTTTCTAGTAGGGCTTCGATCTGTAATTTTTCCAGTTCCAGCTATCTTTCCAGTTCACCCTAACTAAAAATTCGGGTCTGTTCCAGTGACGCTTCCTTGGCCATGAGTGAGCCAGGCAGAACCAGTTCGAAGCCCTGGTTTTAAACTATTTTACAGATCCCCACCTACCGGTAGCTTGTACTGTCAGTGGGAGAATAGCTTCCCAGGAAACAGCAGAGCCATAAAATATAAGTGAGCTGTATCTGTCCCTTGGGTCATGAAAGTTAATGGCTACAGAGAATGGTTACAGCGTTATCTTTATTTAATGCAAATATAAGCATTTATGAATTTCCAAGTCTACGCCAGTTTAAAAAAAAAAAAAAAGAGGAGGTGGGGAGTGGATTAAATTAATCTGGATTTTCCTGGCACTTATTTTTAATATTTATAACTTATATGAATTATTTGAAACTTGATTTATTTGAATTTGTGGATACAAAACATGAAGTTCAGCTTTCCATGCACATTGATTTCACCAACAGCGGTAAGCACTATTTTCCTCACACAAACAAAGGCAGGAATGACAGTCACCAACCAACTAAACACATCAAGTGTGCCCTCGAGTCGCTGGTAATACATTTGAACAATCACGTGGTCCATCACTTTACTGACCAGAGGGGGCTAGGGAGTTGAAATTACTTGCCGCACGTCTACTTTCTCCAGAGAGACAGAGCTTAACTCTGGTCCTGAGCCCACGCCATGTTCCTTCTGTACATATGTCCTACAGTCACTTACTTGAGACGTATCATCAGGAAAGACTAATCCCTGGGAAAGGACATCATGTTTGGTAAAGCAGAAGGTCAGCAGAAAGGAGGGAAACCCTCAGTGAGATGGATTGACACAATAGCCACAATTGACTCAAACATACCCATGATGATGAAGATAGCACAGGACCAGGCAATATTCCATTCTCTTATACACAAGCTCTCCGGGAGTCTAAGCCAACCTAGTGGCAACTAACAAAACTCAGATCCAGTGAAATGTAATCTTAGTAGAAGGAGAATTCTGCTGAAAGTAGAATTTTGATTCTCGTTTCTAATTAGGGTTAAAATGTCAGTATACATTGGTTTATGCAGCATATTTTCCACTTAGAACCATTAGCATTAGATATTTACCTAGTAATCACAGTTTGCCATAGGGAAAGGAACCTAAATGTGACTCTGCTTTTTTGGGCAGCTGGAACAGCACAGACCATCTATTTCGGGTTTCATTTGCGCTAGTGGTGAGAAAATGTAAGGAAGGGCAGCATTTTCAGATGATTGTGGACAAGGCTTTGTATCTTTAAGGGTGGTGGAAGCTTACCGAAAAACCAAGCCGGTTGCTATAGAGTCAACTCCGACTCATGGTGACCCCATGCATATCAGGGTAGAACTGTGCTTGACAGGGTTTGCAATGGGTGATTTTTCGAAAGTAAGCCTTTCTTCCAAGGCACGTGTGGGTGGACTGTCACCTCCAACCTTTTGGTTAGTAGCCGATAACTGTTTACGCCACCCAGGGCCTCCGGAGAAACCACAAATGCCCCAGAGTCATTTTGGGTGGTCAGTTTTGTTTTTCTGAGTTAGGATTCTGCACAGCCATGGCGGTCTCCACAGCACATGCTTTACAACTGGGCCTTGACTTTCCCCAGTGATGGTTACCAAGAACCCCTGGGACCACTCAGCTTATGTATGTGCCGAATAACCTAGCGGAATAACAGTGTGGGCCTTTAAAAACAAGCCTTGGAAAGAGGTTTTCATTTTTTCATTCACAAAGCAAGTAAGCTTCCTAATTAGCTAAACACGCCTGAAAAGCTCAGCTCCTACTAGTCTGCATGCCTGCGCTCTGTGCTGCCCTCTGTGACCTTCAGCTCTGTTACAAGGACAGGCTGGTGGCTGTCTCCGCTTCACTCATGTTCAAAGAACTCGTGGCAGGCAGTGGTAACCATGGCAACGAAGGCCATAAATTCCTGGAAGTCACATTCCCCGTCTCCGTCGCTGTCCAGTGTTTCCATGACTTTGTCCACGACCTCTTGCTCTTTGATTTCCTAAGAGAGATGAAAGGAGTTGCCCCATCTGTTTTTAAGTAGAATTTAGAGCTATCGAAACGTGATTAAAAGTTAGATGGCTCTAATAAGTTTTATCAAAATAAGCTAAGAGAAAATGTAAAATACCAGAAATCATTTCTTCTAACTGTGACCAGGGGTCTTGGCTGGGCTGAGGTCTGTGCTGTTTTGTGCCACCTTACTTTAGGTCCTGTGGGACCTGGGCTTCTTGGAAAGACTGAACGGAACAAGCAAGATCTGAAAAACTGCGGGTTGTTATATTTAAAACACCTGGAAAAAGGAATTCAGTCTAGACCAGCCTGAGCATGTTATATGTGAATGTCTGAAGGAAAAAAAAAAAAAAAAAAAAAGAGCTTTTGGCACCCCTAAGTTTTTCAGGTGTTTATGTGGACATCTCTAAAATGAAGGCTTTCCATGGATTATAATGCACTGAAGGTTTTCTTTGATGGTGAAATAACTTTTGGGAACATGGCCCGAATTTATTTACTCCTTACATTCCAATTCCCACTTGATGTTGTTTTCTAGGGGGCATGAGAATGTTCCCTGACAGTCCTTCTGCCCAACACCAAGGCCAAGTGAATGGTGTGGTTCTGAAGTGATGTACAAGGTCTCAGAGGGACGGCCACAGCGCTGGGCAACCAATGCACTGCAGAAAGAATGCGGGCACTGAGCGCTGGAGAAGAGTGTAACGGCACACTCTGCAGAATACCAAATCCCCAGGGCCGGAGAGCTTGGCTGGAGAAGCCAACTCTATGTACAACGGCTGCTTCGAGTGTAAAATATACACATATAAATGTAAGATATACAAGATAAATATATACAAGCTGCGGTTCCAGTGGAGATAGGGAGGGACTTACGAGCATCTGCTGAAAGGTGAATGGAAGGAGTACGTTAATTTCAGTTATATTGTAGATTTTCCTCCAAACTGAAATCATCTCGATAAAACCAGGCCAACAAATTCGTGATGCCTGGATACATTCATTGTTGTTAGGTGCCATAGAGTCAATCTGATTTATAGGGACCCCACGTGACAGAGTAGAACTGCCCCATAGGGTTTCCTAGGCTGTAATCTCTATGGGAGCAGATTGCCAGGTCTTTCTCCCATGGAGCCACTGGGTGGGTTCGAACCGCCAACCTTTCAGTTAGCAGCTGAGTGCTTAACTGTTGTGCCACCAGGGCTCCTTTTGATACACTTACCATGAATTATTTATCTTTTCTAAATTGTGGTTCTAAGACACTAACCTTTTTTCTGTGTCTTAAAATCAATCATTGGTAATAGGAGCCACCACTTGAACGTTTACTGTATGTTAAGCATTTGCCAGACACCATCTCATGTCATCCTTTTTACAGAAGAAGAAACTGAAACTTGTTAAATCTAAAGGCAGAATTGGTGGGACTAGATGACTTCATGCTGTGGGACAGCCGGCATGCTCTGAACTTGAATGCCTGAGAAAATGAGTCCCAGAACCTGAGACTTGGGGTGCCCCTGCAGAATCTGCAGGCCCCAGTCACTCAACTATAGAGCGTCTGGGTGGGGGCAGCAACAGGAGAGCCCCGGGCAAGCTCCGAAACGGTGTGTAGGCTTTGCTGCTGGTTTTGTTGTGGTGCTTGTGTGCCATCAAGTGGATTCCAACTCATAGTGACCCTGTATGACAGAGTAGGACTTCCCCGTAGGGTTTCCCAGGCTGTAATCTTTATGCGAGGAGATCACCGGGTCTTTTCTCCTGCAGAGCGGCTGGGACGGTTCGAAGCGCCTACCTTTCGGTTAGTAGCCCAGTGCTAACCATTGCACAACCAGGGCTGCGGGTGCTCTGGGCTTATTGTCCTGCATCGAGTGGCCTAGCTGGGGGAGGGCAGCCTTCCCTCACCGAGTATCAGGGCCCCGCCAGTGTTTGTGTCTTCCCCAGAACTGGCACTTGGTCAGACACTAGTGCGTTGGTTCATCGTCCAGCCATTTCTCCTGCATGTGATGGGTCTCCTCTTCAATGACAGTCTGGGTAGGGAAGTAAGTCCCTGAGTGTAGGTGTCTGAACATGCTGCCACCTCAGGCCAGAGTGGGAACTGCCTGAGGAAGAGCAGGGCTCACCAGGAACCCCAGTTTCCTAAGTTAGGGGCCCACACTGAGGACAACTTTTCCCTCCAACGCCCCTTCCTCTGTGGAGTCTCCTGCACAGCCCCAGGGTTCCAAGGGACGGGCACAGACCTCTCCAATGCCCTCAGTAGACCGGCTCGCAGTCATTCATTGATGAGCCCAGGTGGGGTGCCCTGAAGGCAGAGGCCATGTCTGTTGGGTGTATGTCTCAGAGCATTGAACACAGGCAACACTCAGTAAACGTTTGCTGAGTGAATGTCGGCAACTTTTGTCTCTGTGGTGGGTACTGAACATCTAGCTAAAGCCGAAATAGATCCTTTTCCCAAAGACAAAAGCTCATTTTTAAGTTTTCTTATGATATGTTCACTATGGACCATGATATGTCATGAGTATATTTTCCATCCCATTCTGCTATCATTATCACTATAAATCCTTAGCTTTTCAGAGAAAAGTCAGCATTGTTTGGGACCTGTACCTTTGCCTTTAAGACAGCAGTTTTTCCTTAATGTACCTGCTATACACAAGACAAATCAAGAAAATGAAAACAGTGGGGCCCCTCTAAGCCAGCCTCCGTAACGAGCGGTCAGTGTGTTTTCAGAAGCACCCCAGGAGTCCTGAAACGGATTTGGAATCACCTTCAGGGCATCTCAGAAGAGAAACTATACCGTTGGCTTTATAAGTAGAAAAAAACAAACAAAAAGCCAAACCCACTGCTGTCGAGTCGATTCCGACTCATAGCGACCCTATAGGACTGGGTAGAACTGCCCCACAGAGTTTCCAAGAAGCTCCTCGTGGATTCAAACTGCCAGCCTTTTGGTTAGGGGCCATAGGTGTTAACCACTACGCCACCAGGGTTTCCAAAAAGGAGGATGGATAAACTGTTGATTTCAAAAAGCAATACTCACCTCTAAAAAATGGGAAAGCTCGTTGTTGATGAGCTCCTTGAGTTCAGACTTCTTTAGCTTGTGCTTGTCACCTTCCTTTCTGGAATACTGATGGAAGACATCAATGAGGGACACCATGGCCTTCTCCAGCTCCGACATCCTACGGGTTTACAGAGGAAAGACACCTTCTCACGTGCTGGGTTTCGTCTGAGTGTAAAACATTCAGTGTAATATCTGCACAGACCTCAACCCGGGGTCACACACATATTGTCTAAGAATAAATTCAGCAAGAAAAGTACACGTCCTTCCAAAAGAGTCTAAGGAATGTAAAATGTAGGAACTTGCTTTCCTCTGAATTAAGATAGAAATGTAACTCATTTTTAATAAAAATCTTAATGGAATTATTTTATAGGTGAGGAACATGACCAAAAACAGTTGTAAAATTCATCTGGAAAAATAAATATGGTAGAATTGCCACAAATTTTTTCTTTTTTTTTTTTTAGAAAGAAGATACTGAGAGGCACCTTGACCTACCAGAAACAAAGACGTATTATAAGGCTGAGCGACTAACCTGGTGCGCTCCTGACGTGGGAGTAGACAGAATGCAGCCGGAGCTGAGCTGCCCCCCAAGTAGTTAGTATTCCTGAAGGTGCCTGTTCAAGTGAATGGGGAAATGGTGGGTTATTCAAGAATGTGATTGGGACCAGTACTAGAAATAAGTGCTTCTCTGTAGATACCAAAGCAAGAAACTTCCTACGTCCCCCACACCATATACCTTACATCATGGCCAGCAATCTGAGGAAATATCTGCTCAATCCTGGGAATGTGGCGCTTTTTATAAACGGCAGCTGGTCCGTTGTTTCACAAAACTGAGAAGCTCAGGGAGAGAAGTTTACCAGCTTTGGACCTTGAATTCTAATCAAGTCAAAGAAAACCCTTTGTGGTGTCATAACTAAAAATAAATTGAATTTCATCGTTGAAAAATCATTCTCATGTTGAATATATCACTTATATCTTAAAAAGAAAAGGTTTGAAATTTTATTTATTTGTGATCTCCCGAAGGGAACAGGATTGAGGTTATTTTTTGTCTTGGCCTGATCTTTGCCAAAGTCACCCTATTAGTAATCAGTGTACTTTGTTTTGCCCTTAAATCCCTAAGAATCAGGTATTTCACATATATAAGATAATTTAGATGAGTTAAAATCTTAACATTTCATACTTTCCCATCCTTTGCCCTCAGGTTTTCAATTATCGATTTTTTTTAAGAAACAAAGTAAGAAACCTAGTAAACTTTTGCATCATCCTGGTGTTTCTTAAAGTCCATGATGATTTGGGGAAGGGGAGATTAAATGATTTTTCTCTAAAGTATGACTAATGGGATTTTTTTTTAAAAGGAAATTCAAAAAACACATATTTCATATATTATACCAACACCAAACCCATTGCCGTCGAGTCGATTCCGACTCATAGTGACCGTATAGGACAGAGTAGAGCTGCCCTGTTGGGTTTGCAAGGAGCGGCTGGTGGATTCGAACTGCTGACTCTTTGGTTAGCAGCCGAGCTCTTAACCACTGTGCCACCAAGGCACCTTCATATATTATAGAACTCCATAAAATGTGGTTTTCTTCTTAACCGTACTACAAATTCATTTTTTCTTCTCTGTGACTGAAGAAACAGTTGATGCTGTGAAGATTATCTTTTAAGAAAGTTGAAATCAAATACCCATGTGTCCTTCTCACTTACCTTTGAGAAAGTTCTGCACTGATCTTTTTATATTGGAAATGAGAATTTTGGAGCTTTAACTCCTCAGGAAGACACACCTACATATTACATACAATTTGGAAGTCCACTTTAAACGTGGGGGCTCTACCTCTCTGAGGAATTGTAAGACTGAGGAAAGTTAAACCCACCAGAAACCCCAATTTTTTTGACTCATTTTGTAGTTCATTTGTAAAGACCTTCTCAAACTGTCATGGAATTTCCGAGTGGTGTCCAGCAGGACATGGACATTTCAAATTGAGGGAAATGGGAAGACCAAGAAGCAATTACCCAGGACCATGGAGGAAGTAACCAGGAGGAGGAAGATCAAACATTTATTTATGATACAAGGCTAAACTAGCATTAGTCTATTCTCAGCTCCAAACCCAACTAAACCCACTGCCGTCGAGTCGATTCCAACTCATGGTGACCCTATAGAACAGAACAGAACTGCCCCATAGGGTTTCCAAGGCTGAAATCTTTACGAAAGCAGGCTGCCACATCTTTCTCCAGTGAAGCGGCTGGTGGGTTCCAACCTCTGACCTTTCGGTTAGCAGCCAAGTGCTTTAACCACTGCGCCACCAGGGCTCCTATTCTCAGCCCCAGGAAGAGAAAAAATTAGAGAAGGAGCAGCATTTGTACCTCTGGGAAAATGTCAGCCATGGCCTCTTAGCCATTAGATCTGAGGTTTCTCTGTTATGGTCATAAAAGCAGGTAAAATGCGCCTCTACTCTAGCTGTCTGGTGTTGACGACTCAAAGGTCCACAAAGCAGGAATAAGATCAGCAATAAAGTCAAGATTTAAGCATGTAATGCTATCAACACTTTTCAAATGCTGCCAATTATCTTAAAGACACTTTTTTTAGCCACCACCCAGTCCCTAACCCCATCCCTTTCCCTCCTCCCCTCCAAAAAAAGAAAAGAGCCTTTTCTTCCCGAGGACGCTTTCTCACCTCCTGGCTGCCGTGTGGTCTCTGGCTGCAGCGCCTGAGTGGCAGGCGTGGCGGCAGAGACAGGCTCTTATTCCTCCCTCCCAGGCGGACGGGGTGTGGTCACCGGTGCGGTACCACTGCGGGCGGCGGCAGCCAATGGGGGCCAAGGGCGAAGAGGCGGCTGGGGCAGACAGGCCTGTACACAGAGCTGCATTCACCAGGCGATCGATGGCCCTCCCGCCCGCCCGCCCGGGGACTTGCTGGAGAGCCAACTGCACAGGGGCCAAGGGAGAAAAGGGGCCTGTAGGGCAGGAAGCAGGAGTCAGCTTTTTGTGCTATTTTCTTTTTTATGACATGAATACTGATGTTCCTCTAAAAAGCAGGGTGGGGGTGGGGAGAGGAGAGGGAGATGGATTCATTGATTCAAACAAAGCAGATGTCCAGCCAAGAACAAGAAACTTCCAAGTACAGACAGAATATAGGAGATAAGTCCACAGGCAATGCTCAGTAGACGTTTGCTGAGTGAGTGTCCGGCTTCTTTTATCTTCATGGTGGGTACTGACACCTAGCTAAAGCCAAAATAGATCCTTTTCCCAAAGACAAAAGCTCACTTTCAACAGTGTTCTATGATATGTTCACTATGGCCCATGATAAGTCATGAGTATATTTTTTATCCCATTCTGCTATCATTATCACTGTAAATCCTTAGATGAACCTAAACTGTCATCCAGAGCCCTCCCTCTAATGGCGAGGCCCATGGGGCCCCCTCCTGTCTGCCAGCTTCCCCTGGTCTGGCCCCCACCTGAAGACGTGATACCCTGTGGGCATCAGTATTTGTCAGGGCAGCTGGGGGGCTTCTCTGGCTGAAGCCAACAGAGCTGCCTCCAGAAACTACTGAGTCCAGTGTCAGCAAGGAGAGGGCTCCACCAAAACGTGTGATATAATGGATACTTGATGCTTTTAGGGGAAAATCCTTGTTTGTTATGATTCAGGACATGTGCCAGTCACACCCCAAGCCTCTCCCTGCACGCGGGGTGAAAGGTTACAGGCTGTCAGAGTTGGATGGTATCTTAGAAATGTCCTGTCAAAAGGATCAAAATAGAGGGTCCCAGACAGAGCCGGAGAAAAATGTAGAACAAAATTCTAACTCTCACACACACACAAAAACACCAGACTTACTGGTCTGACAGAGACTGAAGAAATACTGAGAGTATGGCCCCCAGACACCCTTGTAACTCAATGATGAATTTGCTCCTGAGGTTCACCCTTCAGCCAAAGATTAGACGGGCCCATAAAACAAAACAAGGGGCTAAAGGGGCACACCAGCCCAGCGGCAAGGACAAGAAGGCAGGAGGGGACAGGAAAGCTGGTAATAGGGAACCCAAGGTCGAGAAGGGGAGAGTGTTGACATGTCATAGCATTGGCAGTCAATGTCACAAAACAATATGTGTATTAATTGTTTAATGAGAAACTAGTTTGCTCTGCAAACCTTCAACTAAAGTACCAAAAAAAAACAAAAACAAAAGAAATGTCCTGTCAAAACGCTCTGCTTTCCAAGATGAGGCATGACGGTGGTCTGGCCTTTCGCTGAAGGCAGTACCACCAGCCACAGAAAAGAGAAGTCCAACCACCACCACCCCCATCCTACTGCCCAGCTTTCCCAGCAAACTACCTGAACCTTGAAACACAGAAATCCAGTTTGTGGGTTCTTGTCAAAAAGTAGGCATTTCTTTTGGCAAATTATGCAAAGATATTGGCCCAAAACTTATCAGGCATGTCCATGGTCCCCACAGGATATCTGAACCCGAATCAGTGCCCTTCTTCCATTTCAAAGTGGCCATGAAGTATCAATGCACAAAGATGTCTGTGTACACAGTTGTTGTCATTTATTCTAACCAGAAAATTCTTGACTATTCAACATCCATAAGTGTGCCCTGGAAATAGCACAGGACTGTGAGTCATGGGGCTTGAGTTGTCCCAGCCCGACCCCCATGCCATCCCCCACACTCCCATGACCTCGAAGTATCACCTCTTCCATGCCAGGCACTGGAGCTGGGGAAGTGGCTACTCCTGCAAGCCTTAACCACTCCCTCAGAATGGTGGCCTGGACTCTGGGTTAACCCTGCGGTATACACATAAAAGCTTCAGCCTGCTCCCGCAGGGGTTAAAACAAAAATAGTCTGGAATACACTCACCCAACTACTCCACACCTACTGTATGCAGGGTGTTGGGCTCAACTCAACTCTGGGGACTCAGGCAGGCCTGCCTTCTGGAGACAAGACACCACAGCTTCTTGGGATAGCCAAGAGCATCCACCCTGTCCCAGGCTCTGTAGGAGCAGGCAAGGAGAAGGGGGAAAGGATGTTCTTCAGAGAGGTGGGCTTGTGATGTCAGGGCTACCTGGCAGGGGGATGAGAGGGGCTTCCTAGTGCTATGGACCCTCAGAATGGCCTTTGCTCAGCTCCCACAGGAGCTCACAGACACAAGGCCTTTAGAAGAAGAACATGGGGAAGGACATGAGAGCTTTCTTGTCTTCGGTCACCGTCCCTTCTCTGTGCTGGACAGTACCCAAATCTACGGCCTCACCAAGCTCCCACAGATGGATGCAACTGCCAGGTGTGAATCTCAGCTACACTATTTAACAGTTGTGTGACTTTGTACAAATTACTAAATCTTTCTGTAAAATGAAGTGATCATAGTCCTACCTCACAGTATTTTTCTATTGTAATTGGGTGATAACTCCAATTATAGCTGTAGTGCCTGATGAGGTACCTGTACTAGAGAAAATCAGCTAGGTCCTGGCACTTGATATGCAGCTATTGACCTAACTAATGCCTTTTTCTCCATACAAATTTGCAAAGACCACCAGAGACAGTTTGCTATTACCTGGAAGGGCCGATGATATAGTCTCACAGTGTTGCCTTGGGACATGTTAGTTCTCTTGCTCTCTGCCATAGTAT